CAGCAGGAAATTCTGTTAGGATTCCTTACATGTTCAACAACTTTCCTTTCTCTGAGGAAGGTAAAGGGGTGCTCATCTCCAAATAATGTAAAGTAAGATGGGAACAGTAGAACATGGAAATGGAAGCATAAGGCAACAGAATAGGAAAAGAGAAGAAAATATTTTAAATGATTTTCAGAAAACCAGGGATTTTGAATTCAGTTTTATTGAGATACCATTTTTATACAAGAAAGTTCACCAATTGTAAGTTCAAATTTAAGGAATTTTGAAAAATGCTTCCCATTCTACAATCACTGCCACATATATCATTTCCATCACCAAAGTTTCCTAGTGCCTCTGCAGTAAATCTGCTTCTCTTAACCCCAGGCTCTGACTACCACGGATTTCCTATCTTTCACTATAGCTTGCCTGTCCAGGATTTCATGTAAGTGAAATCAAACAATGTGTTGTGTCTTCAAGAAAACAAATCTTACTTTGAAGATATAAAAAAACAGCTTTTAGGTGAAAAAAGAATTTATCAGCATAGGTGCCCATTTACTTCAGTTTCATCCTAAGTAGGAATTACCAAGAAAAGTTGAGTTTTATGTTATAGTTATATTTTTCTAAAATTCATTAAAAATATTTATCCGGGGCCTCCCTGATGGTGCAAGGGGTTAAGACACAACCTATGAAGTTAACCGCAGCCACTGCAGCATGAGTTCAATCCCCTGCCAGGGAGCAACCCTCATGGCGCAGCAGACCTCTCCTGTCTCACCCGCTGCTCCCCTCAGCAGTGTATTTCAGTCAATCTGCCTGTTCTGCTCTCCACTCTGGCTCTGGTGAATCCTCTCATTCCCCCCACCTCCACCCCCCACACACACCTCTGGCTTGTAACCCTGTTCTTGTATGCATAAATAAATAAATCTTAAAAAAAAAGGTTAATTATAAAAATATATATATTTATCCGAGTGCCAATGATAATCATTCCATGTTCCAGTAATCTGTACCACCTGGAGAGGAGGAAGTGAAGAATTTCTTTTGTTTCCACAATCCCAAGTAGAAGATCTTGACAATTCTTTTTTTAAAGATTTATTTATTCATGCATGCAAGAACCAGGGTACAGGCCAGATGCGCAGGAGGGTGACAGGATGCACCAGAGACAGAGCAGGGAACAGAACAGGCAGACTGACTGAAATACACTGCTGAGGGAAGCAGCTGGAGAGACAGGAGAGGTCTGCGGCGCCATGTGGGATTCTCGCCCACAGGCCTGGATCAAACCCACACTGCAGAGGCTGCATAGAGTGCTGTGCTTCACAGTGCTGTGCTCAAACGCCTGCGCCTCCAGGGGAGGCCCTTGACAATTTTTTAATAACTGGGAAGTTTTTTAATTATTAAATTTATTTAATAAGTTTTAATAAAGACTAACAGTCTTAATTTTTCAGTCAGTCATTGATTTTGGCCACTGAATCTTTAAAAAGTGGCTATAGCACATTTGTCAGTAATTATGACACCTAAATTCCCACACATATTATAAATGTGCACATTTACCTTTTAAAAATGAAATCAAACTTTCTTTTTGCTTTTTAATCTCTATTTCCCATTTTATTTGGCTGGAATTAGAAAAAAATTCTCTTTGATACAATGGAAAACAAAAACACAAGTAGTAAAGAAGGGAAAATTGAGATTGGCCATGCAGCATATACATAGATTGAGAAGACTTCCTGCGGATAGCAGATTTGAAGAGAGTTTAACATCAGAGAGATGATCAACCCAGGATAGCCCAAGCAGGGTCAGGAGATGTAGCACAGTCAGACCTGGAGAAATCATAGGAAGTGTTCAAGAATATTTTGCAACAGAATGTCTTTGCACCATCTATGTGTGTGCTCACGCTCATCCTGTGCATGAGTCAGTACTCTGTCATTTCTGCCCTTCTAGACTAAGATTCAGTCGTTTCCTGTAAGTCTGTGTGATTGGAGAAGACCTGGCAAATAACCATGAAGGAGTGTTTCAAAACTGAGTAGAACAGATGTCTTTCTGTAGAAGAGGCTGAGGCAGTGTCCTTAGGAAATTAGGACTCTGAGAGGTCCCTGCGGGGGGCCATGAAAGTTTGAATAAGAAAAAGGTTTAATTTACATTTATCTCTGTGGCAATTATTGCCGACCTGGAAGGCTAAAGAAAGTTGTGAAGGGTGATGGATAGAACCACTCTCAGGCATTGCAGGTGAGGCCCTCCTTCTGCATTGTTTTTTTACTGAGGGGAAATGAGGTCAGATTGGAGTATCTGAGGTCATTTGAAATACAAAAGTGTCCCAGAGGCTGTCTGGAAGGGTGTGTGGAAAAAAGGAGTGGTGCAGAAACACCCATTTTTGTCCCACAAATACATGACTTGCAAAAGCTCCCAGGGACATTAAAAAGGAGCTGGATGCTCAATTCACCCTCCTTGACTGGCTATTTGGTAGGAATAGTACCAAATAGTACCAAATTAATGCAGGGTTTTGATTAAAGGGGCATATTTGCGTCTTTGTATTAGTCATCATCTGTCACATTGTGAGCAATGAGCAGTTTTTCAGCTCTATTGCAATGCTACTGGATAAACATACTAAATGGTAGCTGCAATATTGTCTTTCTTTGAAGACCATTTCAAAATGAAAATTTGACTCGGCATTTGGTGGTACTTTCATACTTCCAAATCCCTATTACTTCAAAACTGGTCCTGCTCAACCATGTCGTTCCAATGCATAGAGACTATCCCTAATTCTGTCTTCGGCAAAGGGCCATTTTTCTGTTGGTAATGATGGAAACTTGGAGTGGAAAAATTTAGGATGGCAGGTCTCACACGGACAAACACCAGAGGTGGGAACAGGGGTGATTAATGAATCAGACCAAAACCCATCTATGGAAGTTTCCAGGAATATGAGATGGGGGGTCAGAAAAGAGTATCAGCCTGAGACGGGGCAGAGAGGATTACCCGTTTTAGACCAACCCAACCTGACCCCAATAATTTCCACAATAATTCCATCAAAGAACATTGTAAAAGAATACCCCTTGCAAACTGCAGTTCTTGTCCTTTAAGAATGCCCGCCTGTGTCTGTGCAGGTGTCTCTCTCTCCTCTTCTCCTTTCCTCAAAAAGCTTGCAGTGTACTGATGTATGGGAATGTCTGCTGAAATTTTTCTGAGGGAACAAGAACCCCACACACGCAACCTCATAATCTGAACTCCAACATCAACTTTACTTCCTTTTTAAAAGTCATAAATATCCGTGCAAATCTTAAGGATGATTCTGTGCTTTCGATGTCAGTGCAATGCTAATATGTTTTACTTGCACCAACATTAAACTTTTTCATCTTAAAAAATGCAAATTCAACTCAAAGACTGCAAGATCAAATTTTATTTTGCTTTTTAGAAATGTGACCATAAACAAAGCCTATTTTGTAATCAAAATCCCTTTTCCCCCCCTCTACATAAAGCAGTGTAGAACAATGGTCAGTTATAGATACATGGATTCCAGGAAACTGAGCAAAAAGAATTTGTCCTTTCAGTAAAGCAGGTTATGGAAATTTTAAATGAACAGAGGCCCCAAGAGAGGCAAAAAGGATGATTTTTCTTCTTTGAATTGCACTGCTTGAACTAAGGTAACAAAATTCCCCCTCCCAAATCTAAAATTAAATTGACATGTTTTTAAAAGTAATTTTCTCAAGTAAACACAGGGAGAGTCAGCCAAAAACAAGTCTCCTGTTTTAAACCTTGTTGCAGAAAATAATTCCGAGTGTATTAGTGGCGACTACTTGGGTGAGTTCCTAGGTATATCCCCACTTCTGTGATCTTGGCCTGTATCGATATCGAGGCGATTGTCTGGAAACCGTACTGACTCCAAGACCTAGTCTGGAGAGAATGTGCTTTAAATTGAAGAGGTCTCAATATTCTTGTGAAAATGTGTCTTGCGGGAGCATCACTAAATTGAAGGGAAGTTATATAAAATCCCTTTTGCAGGTTTTATTAAGCCTTTTTTCCCCCCGCCTACCTGTGTCTCGTATAAACCTAAATCTTTAAAGAGCCTATTATAGAGAACATGTGGACAAAGGCGATCCGAGTTTGATGCAAAAATGCAATCGCACAGTGAAATTCATCCGACGTCGTTCCATTGGCTGAATTTCTTTAGGGGTTGCCGACCGACCGGTTCCCCAAGATCGAACCATCATAGCGGTCAAAGTGGTTCGCTCCCTGTCGAAGACCTGGCCCGCTGTCGTTTACTTCTCGGCAACATGAGATTCAGTTAGGGCTGGTCCTCGCGTCACTGAGGACTGAATCAACCCCCACCTTTCCGCACAGGCTATTTTCTCCAGGAAAGTCGGGACACCCCTCCCGGGGTCAAGGCGCGCAGCCAGAGGCGAAGGAACGCGGAGGCGATGCGTCAGGCTAAAGGGGCCCCTCAGCCCCATTCCTCGCCGCGGTTCTTCGGATTTGGGCGACTCGGGAGGGACGCGAGGGATGGAGGCAAAAGGCTCGGCCCGCGACACAGGCCGGAGACAAAGGTGAGTAGCTGCGCGAGGGGAGGCCGGCGGGAGGCGGCTCTGGGCCCCCGGGCGGGTGGCGTGACTTCTGGAGGACTCAGAAAACGGGCCAGGACTGGGTAGGGCGGGAAGGTGCCGGCGGGACGAGCGAACCGGCTAATCGCAGGAGTGGCGAGGCTGGGAACGCCTCTTCCCGGGCCCGCCCCGCCGGGCTGGGCGGGAAACGCGGCCGCGGCGGGCGCTGGGGTCACGGGCTGGGGCGGCCCCGCAGCCTCCGGCGTCCCGTGGTGGGCGTCTCCGAGGCGCGCGCGTGCCTCACGTCCCCCCGCCCAGCCCCGCCCCCGCGCGCTGCGCACGCGCGGCCGCGCCCCCCCGGCGTCCCCGCCGGGGTGCTGGGACGGGGGCGGGGATGCGGGGACTGCGCGGAGGTGAGGCGGCCGCCAGCCTGGGCTCCCGGCGCACGAGTCGCCGCCGCCGCCGCGTCACTGCCGCCGCGCCCGCCCTCCTCTGGCCCCTCCCCGCGCTCCGTTCCCCTCGCTCCCCCTCCGCCGTCCGAGCGGTGACTTAAGCAACGGAGCGCGGTGAAGCCCATTTTTCTCCTTCCTCGTAGCGGCGCCGGGGAGTCCGCGGCGCGCGGCCCCCACGCTCCGGCCCGAGATGAACGCTGCCGCAGAAGCCGAGTTCAACATCCTCCTGGCCACCGACTCCTACAAGGTGAGGCTCAGCACGGGGGCAGGTGACGGGGCCGGGGGCGCGTCGGAGACGGGAGCGAAGCCGCGGGGCGGGGGGCGGCCCCGAGGGAAGGCGCGGGCGGCGGCGAGACGGGGCAGGTGAAGCCGGCTCCGCAGCGGCGAGGTGAATGGAGGAGGGACGGTGGGATGGACGGCTGGGGGCGGGGCCTGCGGGGGCGCTCGGTGGGGGGGCGCGGCGAGGGGCTGAGGCGGGCCGAGCCGGCGCCTCGGGGTCCCCGAGCCTCGGGGCTGAGGCTGGGGCGCCCGGGGCCGGGGCGGCTTGGGCGTCGCGGGCGTCACCGGCCGAGCCCACGCCTTCCCCGAGATCGCGGCCTTTTGGCCCCGGGCTGGTGGGCCTGGGCGTAGCGCAGGTCGTTTAGGTAACGGCCCTTGGGGCTTGGCGGTGGAGAGCGGCCCCGGGGCTTGAGAAGTGTGCGCGCTCCCCTCGCCGGCCAGGTGCGTCCCATCGCGAGGAAGGAGTGGGCGAGGTCGTAGTGGGTGCCGGAGCCGCCGGCCGCGGCGCGGGGGACACCTCTGTCTCCCCGTCGCGGCGCAGGAGTCTCCCGCTGCACTGCTCTGGGCTCTGCTTCCAACTCCCCTGCTCCTGCTGATCGCTCTTGCTCCTTATCCCTCGTTGCAAAGGCCCTTAATCCATTAGGGCCGCTACGGGATTTCTGTGAAAAGGAAAGTGAAACACGAGGAGTTAAAAGAACTGTAGTTTCAATCCTGGAGAACTTGTAGAAAGAGAAGTGACACAACATTGTGTTCCTATGCCTGCTAGACATTTGCATGTATAGCTGCCCCGTTAACTTTATTTGAAACGCCCACGTTAGGAAAGACTAGAGAAAAACCTGGCAAATGTTCTGTCCCCTAGTTTCCAAATTATGTGAAGTATACTACACTTTGTAAGCTTGTTAGCCAAGACACTAAGAAGATGAAATGTCAGACTACAAACCCACTTGCACAAAGTGAGTTTTGGTTTTTACTTGAACATATTCTCTTAAGTTCCTTTCATCCCAGCTGGCTTAGGTTTCTCCTTACGGTAATTAGATGGGTTGTTATTTTAAGTGGAACCAAGTTTCATTAACCAGTGGTCTTTTAAGTGGGATTTTTGACGTGGAAATCTACACTACTTCCAGATAATCAAGTATGTTTACCTGATTCCTTAAACCTCCTCATATATCAATTGTAGTGTTTCAAGTCTCTTTTGATAGTGATTTTATAAGGTTCGATTTTATCGTTTCCTAGAATTTTTAGTCTTAACTAATCTTTGAAATAATTTTCAGATTTTTTTAATGTAGCAACTTATAATTGGATTGAAATGAGAACTGTAAACAGAGGTTAGTGCAAGTTCTTTTAGTTTTTTAGTTCCTCTAGCCATTATACATAAGAATGTAAAATTGCTTTAACATCAGTTTTCTGGGATGCTTTTAATTAGAAAAATGAATTACAAGGTATATTTAACTACACTATAGAATATGCATCTCTTCAGTAACGTTTATTCCTGCCCATTTTCAAGTTATACTGGTATACCAATGGTTTACAACATTACAGTAAAGTAGGTTGTATATGTCACACATTTTACTCCTTAAGTTTCATTTGTCTTACATTTTTAGTGGTCCTTGTAGCCTTTTTTAAATTTGTTTTGGCCTTTTTTATCATCTTAGGTGAAAAAGTGATAATCATGAGGTTAGAATTGGATTTTTCATTTGAAAAATTACACGAGAATGTTGCATGTCCTACCACAAACTTACACACTATTGGCCAATTGAAGTCTTTAGATATGTCTTTAGATAGTCTTTAGTCTTTAGATAGTCTTTGGATATGTTGCTAGAAGAAAGCAGAGTATTGTTGATTTCTTTCTAAAACTGAAGAAAGGCTAACTGGTTGTCTAGGCACTACAAAGAGGTGTCTTGCAAGTAGGTCTGATAGTGTAAGCACCTAAAATGTGGCAGTTTTGATTTTACTTGTATCCTCAAAAGAGTTCAAGATTATTTGGATCAAAGAAGGAGGATTTAAAATATATGTTTCTGTCATTATAGACATAACAAGAAGATAAGTAAATGTGGTTTTTTTTTTCATTTTCATCCACATAAGTATTCTTTTTAAAAATAAAAAGGACACTATGTTAGTCATTTTTAAAACAGCTTAATGCAAAATTATTTACTGAATTGTATCTACTCTGCTAAAACAACAAGGAAAAGGTGGATTTGGGCGGGCGTTAGCTATTATGTTCTTGTGTTCCTTACACAGCACTTGGAATTTCATATAAAGGAGACAGGTCATTTGTTTGTTTCCACTTATCTCTGGGATAACCATTGCTCAATTTCCAAATAACTGTGGATCACTAAAAGATGTTTTCCGTTCCATTCTTCCTTTCCCTTTATATATAATGTTTGTAACAAACTGCAGCAAATAATAAACTTTTTACCTGTCACAGGTTAGTGGAAGATGTCAGTGAGCGTAATTGGGAAAAATAATGTATAGCTCACAAAAAGTAGTCACTAAGCCATCTAAAGTTTATATCACATCACACGTTAGTGACAAAACATGCTATGCGGTATAGGTTGTTTCTCAAAAGATCGTTTGTGAAGTAGTTATCTAGAATTCAGTGCATTTTTATCCCCTCATTTAATAAATATTAAAGGCCTGTTAGGGTATTTTAAAAGATGACAGAGGGCCTCCCCGGTGGCGCAGCGGTTGAGCGCTGGGTTGCGAAGCTGCCCGCGGCCGGCGCCGGTTCGATCCCCGGCTGCTCCCCGGCCACTGGAGGATGGTCCCACATGGCGCGCAGACCTCTCCTGCCGCCCGCTGCTCCCCTCAGCAGTGTACTTCGGTCCTTCTGCCTGTTCTGCTCCCCGCTCTGGCTCTGGTGAATTCTCTCACCCTCCCGCGCTTCTGACTGTACCCAGTGCATGTATAAACAAAAAAAACAAACAAACAAATAAATAAATAAAACATGCCTCTATTTAAAAAAAAAAAAAAAGATGACAGAGATGTCTCTTGCAATCCAGGATGAGTAAAAGTTGATTTTAGAGAAGTTGCAAAAAGCTTTAGAATTGGAAATTGGTGATGAGGCACCCAGGACAGCTTTTTGGAAAAAAGAAAATTTTGCTTCCTCATTCGTGGCAGAATAACAAATTTTTAAATTTTTCACTCCTTGGAGGAAAAGATTTAGGGATAGATGAGAATCACTGTACAGAAAAATTATTCCTGCCTGGAACTTGGCCACCTACCTAGTGCGTTCCTCTGAGCTGTTATATTTGTAATAGTTGCTTCTCTTTTACTGCTTCCAAGTGGATACTTAAATATTGTCCCATGGCAGCCTGAGCCTTGTGAGGATCTGATTACTGCCACATGTTGTGTGCTAGAGACTATCAGTGTATTCTTAGGATGCAATTTTTCCAGGAGGTTTTATGTTCTAAATTGTAGGAAAAACTTGGGCAACATTTGCATATGAATCATGAGTATACTTCATGGCAAGATTACTACAGTTAGCTAATAATTGTATAATATCTGGCAAAACAAAAGTACTAGAAGCTGGTCTTTGTGAGTTGATGAAATCTCTCTTCAAGGTATGGCCAGAAAAGGTACAAGTTGTTAGAACTTGGTGTCTGCCAGAAGGCTTAAGGAAGAGGCCACTATGAGTGCAGCTCATTTTACAGTTCCTCCCTTTCCCCAAAATAATATAATCCAAAAATCCTTAAACTGCCTTTTTAAAGTTAACTACTTCAAAAGCCAAGTCACAATGAATTATTTTCTGGGACAGTGCATTTCCAGGTTTTGAGAAATCTTAAATAATATTAAAAAAGGGAGACAGAACCAGTTAAGCTGTTTCTCACATATCATTTTTTTTTTTAATAGAGGCATGTTTTTTATTTATTTGTTTGTTTGTTCGTTTTTTGTTTATACATGCACTGGGTACAGTCAGAAGCGCGGGAGGGTGAGAGAATTCATCAGAGCCAGAGCGGGGAGCAGAGCAGGCAGAAGGACCAAAGTACACTGCTGAGGGGAGCAGCGGGCGGCAGGTGAGGTCTGCGCGCCATGTGGGACCCTCCTCCTTTGGCCGGGGAGCAGCCGGGGATCGAACCAGCGCCGCAGAGGTCCGCTGGCAGCTTCGCAACCCAGCGCTCAACCGCTGCGCCACCAGGGAGGCCCTGTTTCTCCCATATCATTGTTGAAGAGGTAGAACCTGTTAGCCAGTGTAAGGCTGAGTGGATCCTCTTCTACTGCCCTTAGATACTACAGGGATAAAAGACCTTTGTGGCTTTGAGTGTTATGTGCTGTAATATATACATATATTGTTAAAATGTTGCTTTGTGATTACTTCTTAGCAGTTACACATAAAATTATTACTGGAAAAATTAGGTAGCAATAATAGTAATAGCCACCAGCCAACAGGTGCCTATAGTCATGTGATACTGATGTGGGAGGACAGCTCTAGGAAAGATCTCAGATCAACCTTAGAGGAAATCTAGAGAAACTCTGGAGAAAACTAGACTTTGCTGTCACAGAAAAAATTGTAAAGTTGTAGGAAAACTTTAAATATTTGTCATATTTTTCAACTGTCACTTGGGACAAGACACTTAGCCGTGGGATTAGAGTTCGTGGAAGCTTATCTCTTCATGAAATAAATCAACCACATTATTGTGAAATTGAGTTTAAATAAAAGCTACATTTTCCCGTGTGTCTGTGTTCTTTACCACACATTTATGTACTGGCAGTGCTCCGTAGTTGCAGGAAGGCCATGCCAGTTTAGGAACCATTTTTTAGGGATAAGGTTTGCTGAGAATATTACAAGAAATTTGCTTATTTTCTCTTTTTGTGTTTTTAAATTTATTATAGAACCATTTTCTGTAGTGATAGGACTCAGAGCAGTGCTAAAAAGTAGTAACATGATATAAGAGCTCCCTTTTTGTAGCTCACTTTAATTTTGAATACTATGAAAATTTTTTGTTAATATATAACATTTAAAATTGAGCTTTTGGTTGCCATAATCCCTCCTTCCATGACCTTCATCTCAGTGAAGGGCACTGTTATTCCCCCAGTTATTCAACCAGAAAACCTAGAAGACATTCTTAATTCCTCCCTAACCCCCCCCCCCAATCTAATCTGTCAGTTTAGTCTCCTTTACTTCAAAATACTGAACCTGGGGGCCTCCCTGGTGGTGCAGGGGTTAAAATCTCAGTTCTATGACCAGCCACTGCAGCATGAGTTGGAATCCCGGCCAGGGAGTTAACCCACATGGCACAGCAGACCTCTCTTGTCTCCCCTGCTGCTCTCCTCAACTTCCCCTCAAAAGTATATTTCAGTAGATCTGCTTGTTTTGCTCATCACTTTGTCTCTGGTGAGTCCTCACCCCCTGCACCTCTGGCCTACACCCCAGTTCTTGTATGCATAAATTAAAAATATAAATCTTTTTTAAAAAAGCAGATACTGAGCCTGTCCTCTTTACCTAATCTAATCTTTGACAGTAGCCTCTTAACTGATGCTCCTGCTTTCACTCTGGTCACCCTGTAATCCATTCTCTGCCTCACTGCCAGGCTAAGTCTTGTAATGTGTGAATCCAATCACCTCCACCCCGTTTGTCATACTTGGTGCTAGTTTCCCACTACATTTGATAGAAAACCCAAACTCCTTGTAGTAGCCTTTAAGCCTTTACATAATCTCGTCCCTGCCTTTCTACTTGACCTTATTCTATAGCTCTTCCTCCCATTCTCTAAGCACCAGAAACACTGGTCTTCATTTTCTTCTGTTGCTTAAGCAAAGTGTTTCCTACTTAGTTGCATTTAAGCCTTCCTCACATATCACCACTCAATGAAGCCTTCCTTCATTGGTAGGGCCTCTAGCCTACCTTTCTCATTTTTCATAGTATCCATCTAGATTCTGAAAGTTTGGTTTATGAATTATTCTCATTGACATATCAGCCCACTTTAGCCCTATGAGAATGGGGACCATGTGTCAGTCTACTTTAGTTACTCATCCTCACTATTTGAAACAATGCCTGATATATAGCAGGTACGGAGTACATATTTGTGAATGAATGACTATAAAATAGCAATTTGTTGATTTGAATTTCTGCTATAGCTCATTTTCTGATGGAAGTTCTAAAGGGTGCAGAATGACCAGTTTGGCATAAAATAAAGAGGAAAATAAATCTAGTAAAATAGGAATTATAAATCTTTTGGCTATTTTTTTTCCCCCATTAAGACAATGTATATATGCTCCTATAAATAATTCTGAAGACCATTTTATTCTATAAACATACTGGGTATTGGTAAGTGGTTGCTTTCATGGTTAATTAAGAGTTTGTCGAGATGACTTAAATCAAAATATTTATTAAGTTTCTCCAAAAGTTTAAAGTCATTTAATTTCTAATTAAGCAGCCTAGATAATGTTGTATTTGTAGTGACTTTTGTTTTCAGAAGAGGCATTCTGAATATTTATGCAAAGGTTTTAAAGTACTGTAATGAAAGAACACAAAGTTTTAAAATTATAAGCATTTAATTATTGTCCAGAACTGGAACTGTATTTGTATGGTGAAAATTTTTAGCATACTTAAGGACAGAAGATGGAATAAGTATTTTAGCCACTCAGTTCTTTGTTTGATCTACTCAGAAGATGAAAATAATTAGTTTGCCTTCTAATACTTTTAAATCTGATATAGAAAAAGCAAATTTATAAAGTATCTGAACTGTTAAGAAAGTAAAATCAACTAGAGTCACAGCTATGAATCTATAAACTTGCATGATGTGATCCAGCTCTTAATTCACGTCTTACTTGATTATAGGTGACCTTTTTTTTACTTCATCACTTTATGTCTAGTAAACTTAATTGCAGCTAATTTAGATTGTAAACTGGATATGTGTCCTGTATATGTTTTTAGGGAGTTGTAGCATTCTGATCAGTTTTAGTTGAAGTAATCCTTTCTAGCATTCATATATTCATATACAAAATATATTCAAAAAATATGTAAAGCCTATATATATAGGTTTTGAATATACTTGTAGGTTTTTATGAGGCCTCCCTATACTTTTGTAGTATATAGCTACTCTTGTAATTGACAAAATCAGTAAGTTCCAACTTCTTGCCTGACTTACCCTCTCAGACCACATACTAATAAACAATTCACCCCCCAAAGTTGCCTATGAGCAGCAAAGGGTAGTATCTTAATAGTGTTGTAAGAGGAAACCTATTTTAAACTTGTGATTTTTTTTTTCTATATTTAGTGTATTCATTTTAGAATTTCCTTTAAGCTACAAAGATCCTTCAGGTTAAAACCAGGTTTTACTGGAATCAAGATTGTAACAGCAAGCAAGGAAAACATTGATATTCCTAAACTTGATGTTAGAGCTAAGTGGTTGTCCATGAAACTTGGTCTGCAAGGATTTAAAAATGCCCCCGTGACCCTTATTCTCTACTCTATATCTTAGGATTTAAGGTGTTTTCAACGGGGTAAATACACACAGGTTTTTCCAATTATTTTTTATTGTGGTTAGAACATGAAAATAAAATTATACTGAACATTCACTTTTTTCCTTCTTGGAACAACAACAGGTAAACTTTCAACAGTGGCTCTTATCCAGACTCATGAAAAAGAAAGTTGTGATAATCTTCATATTTTAAACACAAAGATTTGATATTGCATTGTATAGACATTTCCCAATTTGGAGGAGTTGAGAAAAAGAGTAGGAAAAAAAAATCTTTTTTTCCTGCTGCTACTTCCATCCAGGTTTTCATTGTGTCACTGTGAAAACTAAGAGGGATCATTTTTATTGTGATTTATATTTTGTTTATCTGGTGTTTTCTAACTCAAGTTTTATCTTTCACATAGGTTACTCACTATAAACAATACCCACCCAACACAAGCAAAGTTTATTCCTACTTTGAATGCCGTGAAAAGAAGACAGAAAACTCCAAATTAAGGAAGGTGAAATATGAGGAAACAGTATTTTATGGGTTGCAGTACATTCTTAATAAGTACTTAAAAGGTATTATTTTTCCTAGTACATTTAAAACACTCCTTTTCCATAACACTGCATTATTTTTCTCCTATATTGTTATATTCTGCCACTTGAAGTAACTTTTTGAATGGTCTAATTTTGGAATGTATTTAATCACTCTTGCTACTATAGGGAATCTTGGGATTTTAAAAAATACTAATTGGAAGAATTAAATCTTAAAATTTAGTGTATGTAGTGTATGTGTTTGATGTCCTAGTTATAAGAATGATTTTCTAAAACTAGTAAGCTTGGGAATAAGTTTAGAAAGTCAGTTTTCTGAGTCTAATCTAGTTGTTAAACTTTAGTCATTAATTCAAAATAAAGGATTTATGATCGCTGTGAGGACTCAATTTCAATTACTACAGCAATTACAATTAGATTACTTTTATAGAAGTAAGTTTTACCTTACAAGCCTATTTTTTAAAACTCTATAGGCTTAGTCTCAAATTCATTTTAAAGCAGAAAAATCCCCCCAATTTTTTTTTTCTTATTTGAAAGCCCATTTCTAGACTATTTGCTAATAATAGTAATAATGCTCGGGGAAAACTTCCTAGGGTTTTCATATTTCTTGGAAAATTTCATCCCTAACTATTCCAAATAAAATCTCAGAATTTAATATGGGGTAAGTTAAATTTTATACAGATAATAACCTTTCTCTATAATCTTGGTAATTTTAAAAATCAGAAAGTTCAGATATGTTATTCTATTGACAACCTACTTTGCAGCAGAACTACTGAAGATATTTTAAATGAGTTCACTAATGATGTTATGTAGAGAAACTTACCAAAGACTTTTGTCACACTTCAAGTCTACAGCGTAAAAACTTGGTACAATATTATAACAGATTGCTTGCTTACTCTCCGTCAGTCATTATTATCCTAAGTGGTTTAATATCAACTCATTTAGGCCTCACAACCCTAAGTTAGAAATCCTGTTAGCCTCATTTTTCAAGTAAAGAAAGTTAACTAAAAGTGTATTGGGGGAGAAAAATAATTATGAAAATCACTGGATTATCAGTCCTGAAGACACTTTTTCTGAATGAAGTGAGACGGCTCAGCAGAAAAACCATCTGACTCCAAGGATTACTCTCTCAAATTTGTAGTTTATGAATTAAATCATCTTGTAATTTATGCTACTGTATATCTGCTTTTAAAATAAGAAATTAACATTTATGCGTAAATCGAGTGGTTGAAAGGGCAAATTCCTTCCTCTCCTGGCTCTACTGTTGACTCTGGTGAATCATTTAACCTCTCAGTTTTTATTTTTTCTGACTCATATAATGGGTGAAAAAATAGAGACATTAATCTTTTGAGAGCCATTCAGCAGTTAACAGAATATTTCAGAAATGTAAATAGAAACATTTAACCTTCTAGGTAAAGTAGTGACCAAAGAGAAGATCCAGGAAGCCAAAGAGGTGTACAAAGAGCATTTCCAAGATGATGTCTTTAATGAAAAGGGATGGAACTACATTCTCGAGGTAAAATGTGGTTTCATGTTTTGATCTATTTTGGTTTTACTTTTAATTCAAAATTTCTTGGTAGTAAATTTGAATAGGATCTTAGTCTATAATCACATCTTCCTGTTTGTGACCAAAACTAATGACTATTTTAGACATTCTTGTAAAAAATTTCCACTTGCAAATCATTAGTGTCTAGGATCTCTAGGTCTGAGTAATTAAGTTAAAATATAAATGAATTAAAATAACTGAAAATTTTCAGAAAGATGATTCTTTCTGTTAAAGTATACTCTGATAAAGAAATGCAATGGTTACATGGCAGTTTCAAAGTTTAGGTCTATTCACTGCAGACTGACAAGGCTTACAGCATCAATTTTCTATCACTACACAATAATTCTAGGCAATTTCCTCTTTTGGATATTTAGAATGATTTGATATAGCTCCATGAAGTTAACTTTTATTCTTTCCTATACTATAATACTCATACCTAGCATGTTCGGATCCATTATTTAAATTTTGGGGTATCCAAAGACATGGGAATTGAGTTGTGAGAGTTCGATGTCCTCTAGTGGTTTTCTTCTATTAGGAAGATAGGGTGGGAATAGATCCTGTTGATGTCTTGTGATGTTAAATGTTAACTTATGCCTTTAAAATGATAGTTCTTGTAAACTATCAAACAAAATAATTAGGAATACTTTGACTCTTATGCCTATATCTTAATATTTATTATTTATGGTTCTTTGAAGAAGTCAGGTAAACAATCTGTGCTGTAGTTTTCCCACAGCTTAGTAGTACTTACCCAATTTGTTTTGTTGTAAGGATAAAAGTTATAGATTAAGTTGGGTGCCATGCTGATTAGTATAATTTCCAATGGCCAGGGGGATAAATCTTTTGATTTTATGTTCAGAGAATCTTAGGGATTCATAGGTTCTCAAGAGATGATCTTGTCTAACCCCATTTTACAAAGATAGAGTATGACACCGAGAGATGCTAAATGCTTGTTCAAGGTCTTGACCTGCCTGCTTTTGAATCCAAGCAAGGGGGCTTCGAAAGCAGTATTCTGCTCTGTCATGAGGCCTCCAGTGCTTCTCATTAAACAGGTTTTTCTTTTATTTTGTTACTTTGTCCCAAATTATAAAATAAACTCTTAGGATTGTTAACAACTTGCCCTTCAAGCCAAAAGTTAGGCACAGCTTTTAGCTTTAAAAGGACTGAGAAATGATTACATGTCTAGTAATGTGCTATATGTGGCACATGTGTTCTTAGCCTACTGTTGGAGAGAAGTGTTGCACTTGGATATTGATTTGCCAAAGCTGTAGAAAGTACACTTTCTGGATTGGTCTGTCTATTACCAAAATGATTGGTTGCAGATCTATCAAAATAAAAAGAAAACCTCTCTAAAGTTTATCTAGTGACAGAATTACTGAGATTTTATCTGAGTAAAATTATTAATAAACTTTTTTGTGTTTGGTGGTGCTTTTTCTCTGCAGTCCCTTATTTTATCTTTCAGGCTTCAGCTCTCTTTTTGAAAATAACCTACTTAAAAGAAAGTATTCTTATAATATGTTGGAATAAACTCTCCTTTAAAAAAAAAAAAAGAATGAGGTAGAAACATTTTTTTGATCAGTTTGAAATTCCTTTTAGTGATAAAGTGCTTCTGCTAAGAACACTTAACAACATAAAATTTAAAAATTAATATCCTCTAAACTGCTAACAATTTTTAGCCAATTTTATTTTAGGAAGAGACGGCTATGCCAAAGAAATTATTAGCAACATAATATCTACAAGTGTAGTTTCTGTAACAGTAAACTTAACTTACTTGAAATAAAGAACTATATTCAAATAGGTAATTGCTGTTGAATAAATTCATTATCTTCTTACCAGAAATATGATGGACATCTTCCAATAGAAGTAAAAGCTGTTCCTGAAGGCTCTGTCATTCCCAGAGGAAATGTTCTCTTCACAGTAGAAAACACAGATCCAGAGTGTTACTGGCTTACAAATTGGATTGAGGTAAATGTTTGTTTTGAGGTAGGGATTAAGATATAATGGGGGGCTTCAATTGGGTTTTAGTTTAAAAAAAAAAAAAAGATGTGTGTAACCTACAATCTACTTAACCTTTCCAGGCCTCAATTTCCACGTCTATAAAATGATAATTGGGCTAAATAAATAATCTTTACGTTTCCTTCCAAGGAAATCTAATGTATTTCAGGATTTTATCTAAGTAAAATTATTAATGAATTTTGCTGTTAAAGTTCAGTTGTGAGAGAAAATATCCAAGGAAGTGACGATAGCAATATCATCTAGACTGTGTCAGAGTGGTGTCTGCGTAGTGCTTAGAACTGGGTTTATTGGTTAAACTAATTTATTGTTACACTGTCAAATAATGTTTGAATTCATTTATAAAAACTGGAAAAAAAATGTAGAAAAAGAGGCTCAATGATATTTCAAACACATTTTTGTGAGGTTGACAGGAAATTTAAAACTCTTACTTGATTCTTGAGGGTCCACCAACTAATAGGAGGCTAATAAGTTTGGAAAAAGACATACAATTAACTAAGATAAAGATTTTAAGTAGTACACTGCTAGGTTTTAAAAATGAATTCAGCTGAATTCAAAGTGAAAGAAAACATTTTATTGCCTTTTGTATATTATACTGGCACATATTTGACTTTGAGAGGATGCCATTATAAAAACACAAGAGTGAAAGAGTTGTTAACAGTATCATCTATCCTTTTACCGTCAATGCCAAAAGATAAATCTTATTTTGAAAAACATTGTGGATAACCTTTTTCATTTTATTTTTCCCATTAAGAATTTAGTAAGTACTCTTCCCTTATGTCAAATTGAACTATCATTAAATCAGATACTTAAGGACATAGAGAACTCGTCTCCAGTCCACCTTGCTTTATCCTCGTCTGAAAGTGCAAAGGAACTAGCCTCACTACAGGGAGAGGGGAGTTGTGGGTAGAAACAAAAAAGAGGAGGTAGTGAAGCGACCCAGTGGTCTGGGGTAAAAAATGATGGGTGGAGGGGGGGATTTTGGTATGTGATAGACATCTGTGGAGGTGTTAACTTATTACCCTAAATCATATACAGGGTTATAAAACTGTTCTCTCAATAAAGAAAAAAGCTAGCCTTTAAAAAAACCAAATTTTATATCTGACATCTTAGAATTTTTAATTAAAAAATTATTAAATGTAAAATCCAGTGTGCAAGTACTAAATTTCAGGGTGGAAAGTACATAGCTCTTGTTCTTACAAGTTTAATAACCTGACACAGAAGTTATATCAAATTTACTTTGCATTAACACATAATATTTTAAGTAATTTTAGTCCTAGATATGGATATTTTTATCTAAAGCACACAAATTTATGGTCTGACACTAATCTTACTGTAGTTTTTGACCCAAGCCTGTGTTTTATGGAAGAGTATGCATTGTGCTTACCTTGTAACCGGGACCTGTGGAGCTCTGCTGCCCGGTCATTTTGCAGCCCTCGTGTGTTGCTGTGTGGCGTTAGGAGGTTCGCTGTGAACTTTATCCTCCCCATCCAAGTTTATCATCTTATTTAGGAAATCTTTTGCCAAATCTAACACGTTATTTACAAACTGAAAGTCTTTAGGCAGTGCTTTATTCAGAACATTTTAAATAATAGTATTCCTTCCAGTTTTTTAGGATTTTTCCAGAAAGGAATAGTATTCCTTTCCCCATGTCTGTTCAAAGTTATTAATAACATTCTTTGCCTATTTACCATACATATTATTCACCCTGCACTGAATTATAATCAACAAATTGTTAAATTGCTTTTTCAGTTTCAATATTGGTGCTAGAAAACCTTACTCGAGCCCAAATCAGATTTCAAAACATGTTTTAAGAATGCATACGTGTTCTGATGTGTGTCTCAGACTTAGCACTGTGAAAAACTTAAACACCTCCTCCAACCAAAAAAACATGTACTTTTCCTGTTAAGAAGTAAAGGTGATTTTAAAAACCATTATATTAATCAAATGCCCTCATTTCACAGATGGGGAAATTGAGCCTTAAGTGGCGAGCAGACTACGTAAGAGTTGGTCCAGGCTCTTCTCTACCACAGTTCTTCTATATGGCTTTCTTTTTCTTTAAAATTCTTTAAACTACACAGTAACAAAATAAACAGTTGAGATTTGCAGATTCATTTAGTTTTCTGCTAAAAATTTTGTCTTGATTTATATGGGCAAATTGCTGTTTTGGAAAAATTTCCAACAAGGCATACTTTATTAGACCTTGGATTAACCCAAGCTAACTGCCTTTTTCCCCTTGCTTACACCTACAGTGATCCTTTTTAAAGGGAAGTGATTTTATTAAGAGTATAATTTAAGCTGATTTTGTTGGACTATGGAAAGGAAATGGTGATGTGAAGGATCACTGTCTGATAGTTATTTCTCTCCTTCCCTGGCATTTTTCAAGGGGTAAGGTCAATCTTCTACCTTTATAACTCAACTAGAGTCTCACATTATGTTTTATATCTCGTACTCCTCCTAGATAAGATCAGTCTAAGTTAAAATGTGATAGTTCATCAAATTAAACTGAGTAAGTATTGATTATCAGCTATTTTAATTTTAATCCTGGACACACATTTAGACTAAGATATATATCTTAAGAGGTTTTAGGGGAGGAAAAATTCATTCCTAACATTCTTTACCATGAATATGAGTAAGAATGGTAAATTGGTAGCAGAAAAACAGGTAATTCTAAGGAATCATGAACTGGAAAATAAAGCAGCTTTTATTAGGAAAAAACAGCTAAAGAAATGGCAGTGTTATTAGAATAGCAAAAAGCTTAAAGGGGATTATTGTGTAAAAGTGGATAAGATGGTCAGAGAATAAACCTTTAGATGGTAAACAAGGCAAGGTTATGGAAGGCTTCAAATTTTGTATGGAGTGACTTTTTCTCCCTACAGCCATTAAAGTGTTTTAAGGAATGACACAACCTGAATAAAACTCTTGCATTAGAATAACTGGTAACAGTTTGAATTTGGTAAATTAGACTTGCTAAAGATTTAAGTTAACAGTTGTATCAGTTTTCTGTTGCTATGTAACAGATTACCCCCCCTCCCATAAAGTAACTTGCTTATAATCTGTGATTGATTAGATGGTCCTCTGCTGGTTTTGCTTGGATTTATCAGTCTGTATTGAACTAAGGATTCTGCTGGGACAGGATTTTCTAAAATGGTCTGGGACTACTGGTCCTTTCTCTGTAACTTCAATTTCTTCACAGCATGATAGTATTGGGATCTAAGAAAATGAGAGTAGAAGTGCAAAATCTCTTGAAACAGGCAACACTATGACTTCTAACACATTCTGTGGTCAAAAGCAAATGATAGGACAACGTAGAACCAAGGGGTAAAAAATGGCCATCTCTTGAGGAGAGGAACTGCAAAGATCTGGGGCCATACTTAGTAGGAGTCTAATACTATAGTTTGGTTATTGCTTTGTTTTTTCGTTTTAGGTGGTCAAGCTGGGGGGTTCAGAGTTAATTTATTGATTACTTAGCTGGTATTACATAAAAGCTTATTTTGTAAAATTTAAGAAATATCTTTTTGAAAGGGCTCTGACATTGTTGTAATATTAGTAGCTCTTTATAAAATAAATTTGAGACTTCTAATAATAGACTGTCTGGTTTGTAAAATAAAAATAGGAAAGTATGATCCTAGAATGAAGGAGGAGTGAATTCCCATGCCATCATAATTAATATTGTTGCTATGCATTGATTAAACATCAGACTTTGGGGTTTCCTGGCAGCCAGGGGGAAAAAGGAGTCAACAAATAGTTCTTACCAGAGAATAGGACCCTAGCAGTTTTTCCTTTCTTCATTTGGGAACTTGTATAATGGGCACCGATTTATAAAAATAGTGATCTTGCAATAAGCATGGTGGAAATGTTTCATGTGGCTTATGACTTTCGACAAAGCCAAGGCTATAAATAGTGAAGAGAGTTCTCTGCTGATAAGCAAAAGTACCTCAGGGATATAACCTACCAGCAGTCATGTTAGATCTATGTAGAGGATTAAGTGAATACTTCTGTAAGACCAATACTATTCAAAATGTAATCCACTATTTGATGCAGGTCCACATTAAATATAGAAATTGAGGATAAACATGTAAACCTTAATGGCAATTGCTTAAATTTTTTTAAATTAGTCTTTGAAAATATCATTTGTTTCTTTGGAGCTTTTGACAGGAACTAGGAAATTTGACATTCTCTATTAAGGGCCTGACATACTTATCCTTTTTGTTGCTGACTGTGAAATGTATCTGGAATGCACTTGGTAGCAATCTGCTCTACAGTTGAAATGTCTAATTGGTATTTCTAGTAATGTAAAAGCCCAGGACATCCCTCGAGATTTTCTGATATTAACATTTGTGGTTAATTTTATTACTACAGACTATTCTTGTTCAGTCCTGGTATCCAATCACAGTGGCCACAAATTCTAGAGAACAGAAGAAAATATTGGCTAAATATTTGTTAGAAACATCTGGTAACTTGGATGGTCTGGAGTATAAGTTACATGATTTTGGCTACAGAGGAGTCTCTTCCCAAGAGGTAAGAATCTGCAAAATGAACCTCATTTAATAAAAAGTGATTGTCAATTAGAATATTTCGGGACGTTATTACAGTTGTATTTGTTTTAAGTCCGCATTTTGAAATTTCAGAGGTTCAGTCAACAGATATATATTGAGCACCTATTCAGCCTCTGTTCAAAGTGTTGGGAATACAGCCTTCAACAAACTTCAACAGCTTTCAAAGTGCTTGTAATATATGTTCTTATATGGTGGATGGATGGGCTGACATATAGACAGTCCTAATAAGTGTAACAGATACCAGATTATGCTACAGAGAAGCACAAGGTGCAGAGTAAGGGAAAGAGGGTGATGTGAAATGGCGGTGGGTCACTATTAAATACATCTCTTTAAGGAGGTAATAGGTGAAGCCTTAACTGTTCAGGAAACTCTTTGGGAAAAACTGGGTCTTTCTCATAAAGAACTATTATCTCTGATAATAGTTAAATCTCTCTAAGAAAACCTGAAGACAATTTGGGAGCTATGATCTATACAACTCAAGTATGGGTCTTTTTTGAATTTTGGTTTATGGTTTTGTTTTTTTCCAGACTGCTGGCATAGGAGCATCTGCTCATTTGGTTAACTTCAAAGGAACAGATACAGTGGCAGGAATTGCTTTAATTAAAAAATACTATGGAACAAAAGATCCTGTTCCAGGCTATTCTGTGCCAGCAGCAGAACACAGGTAGGAATTCTGTTTGTTTTCATCCTCCTATTGTCTAAATATGTGCTATGTAAAATTACTAAATTTCTTCGCTCTTGTATTTATAATTCAGAGGTGTTTTATTTAGCTACAGAGCAAGGAACTACGGTAAATCTTCATGAATCTAAGCAATATAAATTCATTTTTATACTTTGTATAAAGGTTAGTATCAGGGAGGTAAAGAACTTTTAACCATCCTGATGGGAAAAAATTCTCAAGTTGTTTCTAACTCACATTGTCATATCCAGATAGTTTAATGAAGCCTAAGTTTAGAAATATTCACTGTAAAACCTGGTCACTGTTTCCCATCTGTATGCCCTCACACCTCTTTGTCCTGGAAATTATCATCGGAACCCAGTACCTTCAGTTGTAGATGAGCAAGCAAACACCTTTGATGAAAAGAACAGCATTCAGATTCTTCTTATGCTTTCTTCCTACTAAATCATCTCAAGTTCAACCAGAAGGAAATCATAACCTAGACTGTAGCCACTCCAGTCCTAGAATTAGTTTTATTCAAAGTCAATGGAGTTTTCACAATGTATAGCAAACCTTATTTCTGGTTCTTAGAAATTATTCACTGTATTCAGTTTGGGGGATTTTGCAGGGTGCTAAAACAAAAACTGAATGTAAACTAAAACTGAGTTTTTATGCAAGCAGTCTACTGGGTGCTCTAAGGAATACATATATATATATGTGTGTGTGTGTATATATATGTATATGTATATATAAAAACTGGCCCGTTCTTCAGCATAAAGATAGCACACTACCAATAATCTGCTGTTAGTGCTTTTAAAGCGGAAACATTAAAGCAATGTGGTGGTGCAGGGGAAGAACAGGAAGGATTATCACTGGCAGGATCAAGAAAGGTTTTAGAGAACAGTTTATAAACTCTTCACTCTTGAAGGAACAGTAAAAGTTAATGGCAAATATTGTGAAATTAATTCTGAGCAAATGTTTATTGTATACTACTGTATGTCAAGCATTGTGCTGTAAGAGCAAAGAATAAGAGGAGAATATGGATGTGTTTGTGGAATTAAAGGCCGAGACACGTTTTGTAGAGAACATAGGATAAGGATCGGCTAGGGAAGCAGTTCAGTAAAGGCTGTCAAATTTATCTTACATTGAATGTTATACACAGCATTCTAAATTATTCTAATTCCATTTTCAAATGGGAGTGAGCATTGAGGTTTTTGAACAAAGTAGCAATGCCATCAGAAATATTTTAGGAATATTTTGGATAATAGGATATCCTAGAAGTTGGAAAAATGAAATTAGAAGCCTTTAGAGGAAGCTACTGAAATAGTTTGAGAGATGACAAGGTCCAGAACCAAATATCTAAGTGAATGGAAGGAAGTGAATAAACATGAGCAGTGATTTGGGAAATGGAGGTGATAGAATTTCATTTGAGTTAGGGCATAGAGGATGGATTCAGTTAAAGTTGATGTGCATTGCTGTAAAGTCTTTTTGAACATTCATCTACAATTTCAAGATTAGTAAAACTGGCTAAATTAGGGTGTCCTAAGCACCCTTATTAGGAATAGTTTTTCCCCTCCTAGGGGCAAATCTAGGTAAATTTGAGACTTTAAAATGGTTAAAAAAAAAAAAACAATCAGAAATGGTTAGCTTGGGACTTAGGTGTCAATCTTTAAAAACCAATGTAGTCCATATAATTCACTGTTCACTTAATGGTATTATAAATCTGAGAATAAAGATATCTTCTTTAGGGCTTTCTTTTTAAAATGGTGAAAATTGTTCTTTTTTTAATGGTTTCATGATATTTATTACTTTTGTAAATTTGACGCCTTGTGAGATATTGTAGGTTTTCTTAAATAGAAAAATCTTTTAAACAGTAGCTTAGTATAATGAAGTGATCTTTGGACTGAAAGTTGGAAAACCTTAGTAATCTTACAGGTGACGGTATATACTGAGTGGCCTTGGGCAAGTCACTTATTTCTCTGTTCTTCTTCAGTTCCTCCAGACGATAGGTTGAGCTAAGATTCTTAACAGCTCTAACATCAAAATGATAAATGAGCTAACATCTAAACTTACTTTAAAGTAAGAAAACTGTAATTGAAAAGCATTGCCATTAAGGTTATAAATATTTTCTTAAAAAAATATGTGAATCTGGACTCAAATATTCAGAATTTCCCTCAAATTTTGCAAGGTATCCAATTTAATTTGATGCTGGAAATTGAGATGATACAATGAGTTGCATCATTGAACAAATATTAGACTGTGTGCTAAATATTATAAGAGTAGGGATTATATTATATAGAGGGTGCTGTAGGAAATGTCAGTATGTTGAGATTAAGATACTCATTTTTTTTCTACCTAAGTGTTTCTGGAGTGCAGAAGACGAACAAGCCAGGAGTACAGATTTTAGAAACCATCACCACAAGAGTATTTTTGGAAAACTTGGAGTGTTTTTCATGCAGGGTGGCATATAGAGGGAGACAAGGGCCATGTCCACAGCCTTTGGTTATATTGAAGAGGAGAATTTATTATTATTATATATATATATTCTCCCAAAATATGTTGTATTCTGAGAGAATAGAGGAACCTTGGAAACAGAAAGGAATCAAAATGTGAGCAATGTCATCAAAGTCATGGGGGAAAAGCTTCAGTAAAGTTCAATTGTATAGAGGAAACAGACTAATAATGAACAACATACACAAATAGTAGATGACTGTGTTCATTCAACACTAGTTTTTAAAAAAGTGATGACCTATACCTGCAGTATTACATTGCAGAGCTCTCCAGTATTGGTTGGTTTTCATTGAGCATAATTCTCTCCAATAAAGGGGAACACTGGCAATTCTTGATAGGAAGAAGGTGCTTCTCTTCATGTCTTTTTTCCCTTTAGCCTGCAGATGATTGCATGAAGCAGAGAATTGGCATCATGACTACTGCAACCTCTTTACTTAAAAGAATATTGACTATGAGTTTGATATGAATATGCAATCTCTCAGTCAGACAAAAGTAGTCCCTGGGTAGCTAAGGATTACAACCCTGACGTGTACGTGCTCCTCTCTTCAGCGTACCATTGACAATATGGGAACAGTTGTTTACTCCAAATGAGTGGGTTACCTTTATAATTTTACTTAGTAAAATGGAGTAGAGGCAAAAACTAGAAACTTGGAAAGAAAAATATTCTGTGTTAATTAACCAACAAGTAATGAAATTAACATACTAAGAAGTAATCTGTTCAGTGAGAATCATTGTGGACACCATAAAATCACTGTCTAATATAAACGCATACTTTATTTCCCTTTGTAATTATGTTTTCCTCAAGCAGAATTTTTAATTTCTTATTTAATGATCATGTACAGTTGTCTGTTCTATAAATGAAATAAATGATTACCATTTACTAGCCACTTAAACGTGTAACAGGTAAAGAGTTAGTTGACTAATAATACATGTATGGCCTAGTATAAATAATTGCCAAAGAAAGAAGTTGAAAGGTGCAAAAGATAAAATGTATGTCCCTGCTATTACTGGCTTCCATGAATTTTCAAAACCATACACCAAGTGTTTGCATCATCCACCAAAATAATGGGAGTATGTGCTTTGTAACATCTTGGCATAACTTACAGCATTCGTTCAGCAGTACTTTTTTTAGCTCACTGATTTTAAATGAGGAGGGTCAGGCTTACCAAAAAATAGTTTATAATCGGTTCACTATAACCTAAGGTTCTTATCCCTCTTATTCTTAGCCATAAAAAATTTGGCTAAGAGATGGTTTGTCCCAAATACTCAATTAACCATATGATGTGCATTTATTAAACTAAGTCACATGCCTTTTCTGCAGTGTTGATGATACCGTAAACATGAGGTATGACTAAGAGGTGATTCAGGAACAGATAATGTGTCTGCCTAAGTAAATCTGTATTTTCATTTTGTCTTCTAGTACCATAACAGCTTGGGGGAAAGACCATGAAAAAGATGCTTTTGAACACATAGTAACACAGTTTTCATCAGTGCCTGTATCTGTGGTCAGCGATAGCTATGACATTTATAATGCATGTGAGAAAATATGGGGTGAAGACCTAAGACATTTAATAGTATCAAGAAGTACAGAGGCACCACTAATTATCAGACCTGATTCTGGAAATCCTCTTGATACTGTATTAAAGGTAAATTCAAATATGTAACTTGATTATTAAAATGCCTGTAGGCCAACTGCATCAACACTGCTTTTAACTTCATTTATATATGTACCACTCAGAGCTTTCTGGACCGAGCCCCTTGATCCCCTTGTTTTAGAGTTGCAGCAAGGACAGTAATAGATTTGCTACAAAACTTTCAGTAGTTAATGAGTGGGATGACTTATGTATTATGCAATTTGGCTTTTTTAAAAAATGGGTGTCACCATTTAGTAGAACCTCAAAAACTGAGCCTTATTTTCAACTTTGTCTGTATCATAATTTCTGTGAACTTTATAATTCAAATGGATTTGAGTTAGAATAAACTCAAAAGTTTATTGAAGCTTTGTATGCTTTTTAAAAATGTTATTTTAATCTCATTAAAAGATTTTTTTTTCCCCTGATGCTACATAATTTAAAAGATATGAGGGGGAAAAAACTTTTATGATATAAATTGCCTTGATAGGAAGTTGAGTATGTTTATTTCTAACATAATCAGAAGGAATTTGAACTAAATTTTAGGTTTATAATGTTATATTTAATTTTTACATTCCCAATATTATGTAGCAAAGCCAAGTCATTTTTTTTTCAACTCTGAAAAGTTTTTAACTTTTTCAATTTCAGTTATTTTTATGTTTTATGTTTCAATTTCAGTTTTTTATGTTTCCATACAGGTTTTGGATATTTTAGGTAAGAAGTTCCCTGTTACTGAGAATGCAAAGGGCTACAAGTTGCTACCACCTTATCTTAGAGTTATTCAAGGGGATGGAGTAGATATTAACACCTTGCAGGAGGTATGTATTTTATATTAAAAGTTCCAATAAGGCAATCCTTATAATTTATTATTATAAACTTTAAGTTCCTCTACTTTTCTAGGAAATTTCCCATGATCCTTAAAACTTTGGCCCAGAGACTTTATAAAAGATATTGATTTTCAGTAAATCTTAATGATAGGAAGAAATTTATTTTTTTAATCACTATGTAACATTATGAAAGCACATGAAGATTGTGGTACATGATTCAAACATGTGGTCATAAGGAAAAAGCACTTCAATAACATACTAATGGCATAAGACTTTTCTCATTTAACAATGAAATATGAAAAGTAGTGTCTAAAGAGTCATATTTTGCCAATTTATATCTAATACAAATTGGAAGGAAATCTTTTTAATTCTGTAATATTCACTTTAATTTGTCTTAATTTTGTAATTTCTGGTAAAGCTAGATGGGAAGACTATCTTAGAGGAACTGGGCCTGAAATAGTGATGTATTTGGTGATGCTTTTTCTTTTTGCTAATTTTCTTGTGCTTCTGAGACAAACCTAAAATCAGGTGTAAAGCTATTTTCTCTGGCGTTTACTCAATCTATCTTACCCTCCATATAGATTTCCCTTTCTAGTCCTCTCATTTTCTGTTACACTCTCTGCATTTCTTGCACATTGAAATTCACTCTTTTTGGAACATGCCTTAATTTCATATTAGGTCTTTGTTGTTGCCATTGTACTTAACTTTAACCATTATTTCAGTGAAAAATAATTCTGAATTCAGGACCTGTGTGTTCAGGTATACTAATGGCAAACTGATTCCCTAACAGTTTAAAATGGATTGTGTTATATTTCTCTATGTTGGTTTTTCTGGTTAAACAAAAAGTGCAAATGTAGCAGGAAAATTAGGAGGTTGGAATTTTAACAGAAAGTTGCATTTTTAAATATGGGTATGTTAAAAGATGAAGGTCCAATAAAGGAGCTTGTATATTTTTATATTTGTAATGTTGAAAATACAGACTAGATTGAAAGTCAATTTGAGATTATTAGTATATGGGGAGAATGTGATGAATTATGTTTATGATTTACATGTGACTATCACAGTCATTCCTAGTGTCTAGTAATAGGCAAATGTCTAGGCTCTATTGCTTTTTGGGCTATAACTTTAGGTGGCATGTAAGAGTCTATTCATATTACTTCAATAGTTTACAACCAACTTTTTTTCTTTTATACTTTCATTTTCTTGATTCCCTCAGACTGCCATTTTGGGGTGGATGTTTTGGGGAAAAAATGTAGAATATAATTTTGTTTGGACCTTATTCTCTCATTTATGTTTATAAAACATGTTGTATCTAGGATTGTCTAATCATCCATATTGCACATGGAAAATTTTCCAAATTTTTGATTTCCTTTTGTTTTATAAACTTCTAGATTGTAGAAGGCATGAAGAAAAAAAAATGGAGTATTGAAAATATTTCTTTTGGTTCTGGTGGAGCTTTGCTACAGAAGTTAACAAGAGATCTCTTGAATTGTTCTTTCAAGTGTAGTTATGTTGTAACCAATGGTCTTGGGGTATGTCCTTTAACCTTTACTCCTGTGTTAGTCTCTTCTTTATGTATCTAAGTAGAATGCTGTTGTTGAAAGCTACCTGTCAAAGAATAATGTGTTCCTGAACTATTAAGATGTTGTCAGGTACTACTGATGCTGATTCAGAAACAGGGAAAGAAATCAAGACATTTAGGTAATAAAATGACTAGAGAAAAAGACTTGGGAAAAAAAATAATAATGCAAGTCAATCATTTCCCACTGCTTCAGTTTCAGTATATACCTTTGAATAAAAAATTTAGCTATACTTGAGTTCAAATGGCAGCTATCCTAGTCATAAAAGTCTAAACTGTCAAAAAGTGGTTTTGGAAGGAGTTTGAGGTGTGGTGTCAAGATCATGTTCTAGTACCCTTAGAACAGGAACCTAAACTGCTAGACAACTGAATATCAAGCCTCCTAGCAATTCATCTGCTCTTGAGAGTCTGGAGCAAAGGATAAGGAACACCTGAGTTGGTTCACAACCTTCCTTTTTTAACAGTTCTAGTACTGATTTATCTGCTTCATTAGGCTTTATTTCCTACCTTTCTGATCCTGAAACATTCTTTCCTTATAGGCTTCTCCACACCTTATTACTGGCAAAAGAAAAAAAAAAAAAAAAAGTAAAAATTAACGAAAGGGAAATATATTGAAAGAAAAGCCCTTTATCTTAGTAAGAGCCTAGTCTCCCTTGACAGATTATATAATTAGTGCCTTTTTTTCCCAATAGCATGTATTAAGCAATACTTAATATTCACTTAAAGGCAATTTATAACATAAAAGGAGATACTTAAGGCATCACCTCAAAGAATTCCTACATACGGAGTATTACATGTTCTGCATGGTGAGAAAAGATAGATGTGTATTGGTTTAGTTATAACTAATAAAATACCTTAAAATTTATATATAAATTATGTATATACTTTTCTTTAAAATGGGAGTCAAGTGAACAATTCTGACAGTTTTCTATTTTTCTTAATTTGCATTCCAGATTAATGTCTTCAAGGACCCAGTTGCTGATCCCAACAAAAGGTCCAAAAAGGGCCGATTATCTTTACATAGGACACCAGCAGGGAATTTTGTTACACTTGAGGAAGGAAAAGGAGACCTTGAAGAATACGGTCATGTATGTATCATTTTTTTTTTAATAGTAGGTTGGGTCTCCAAATTAAGATAGGAGGCTTTTATGTTGTATTTCATTTTTAAATTATTTTCAAAACATTTTTTCTTGGAGGACAAAGTAATTTTATTATAAAGTATAACAGTTACTGACCTAGCCTGCCAAAATAAGATGGAAAGCAAGAAGCGGCTAGATCATAGGTATGAGCACAGTATATATAGTATTCCCCAAAAAAGTAAATAAAAGTTTTTTCCACATTGTGACCAACAGGGTAGTGATTGAGGATGAGCTTCAATAAGTTTGTGTAAATTAGATCTTACTGTTAAGTATACTTCAGGGATACTGTCTCAGATTTCTTATAGCTATTTATGTTATAGTAAAATTTTGCTGGAATATGGGCTATCCAAGTCTAAAGCGAATCGAGTTCAGATGCTTTTCTTTTTGTCTCCTTTGCTACTCCCAGCAATTATATGCGCTAACAAAAAGCAAGATATGTGATCTAGTAGTGTAAGGTGACATGACTTGATTTTGACTACATAGCTTTACAGGTGGTACAATCTTGAATCAGAAAACTGGTTAAGTCAACCAATTTATAGTATGCCAAAGATAGTCTACAAAACACAAGTCTAGAAAATACAAAACTAATGTTTATGAACTCAAAGATACAAAATTTCTGAGTTTTAAGTTACTAGATTAAACCCATTTTTATTCATATTCTGAGAAAATCTTGCAATAAACAAACACTAACTTATTTATACCATATCAGATTTACTGCTTATAGTGTTATTTCACTGTATTAAGATTTTGAGTGAAAATTAGTAGTAGCATTTTTCACTAAACAGAATAAGTTCTAAGCCAAATTTTTACATCTCTTTATAGAGCCTGTTATACAGTATTTGAGTTGCTTCACTTAACTCTTAGTTCCAAGACTTTGAATTAGTTTATCCCAGATGGATTATGTCACTTTAGATTAAGGGTAAAAACAGTGTAAAAAAAAAAAAGGAGGGGGGGGCGGCATTGATCTAAAGAGAATGTGAATGATACTCATAAAATATTTGAAGCAATAATCTATAATTATCTAAGCATTCCTTGATAGATTACATTTAACTTTGTGACAGAAAATGCTACGGCTGGAGCAGTATGATTTGAAACAACACAATTACAAAAATACTAGATACCATATCAACCTAGAGACTAGAAGGAAAACTTAGGCACAACAGATTACTTCCATGTAGAGGCAAATAATTCCTTAGTGACACTGGAGTGGTTTTACCAGATTCAAAAGGGAATTTTGTCCTAATTCTCTTAATTTGTCACTCCTGCATAGATAGGTCAAATGGATTAGATTTGTTAGTGGCTTTTGGAATACAGAGAGCTTTAATTTAGTCACTTATGCATTGGTTAAAAAAAAAAAAATCAGTACTTACTTAGGGGTTGGTTTCTTGCTTTCTAGGGTTTTTTTGGGGATGGTTTTAAGGCCAAAACTCAGTTACTACCAGATTAAATTCCAGGTATTGTCTACTGGCCAGGAACAAGAGGTCTGTCAGGCTTGCCTGGCTACAGTGTCAGTCATAGTTGTTCTGGGCCACCAAGCACTAAGCATCTTCCACCTGGAAAAAAAAAAAAATGGGTCAAGTAAGATTTGTTTTTCCTTTAAGGGAAACTGTTTTCAGAATGTTACACTTAGATCATTCCTTTTTATAAAAGTTAAGATAGAACCTTGCTCTCCGCCTGCTCCACTAGCATTCTTTGAACACTATCAACATCTCTATTTGACTAGGCAGTCTGCTTCATCAAAGGCATGATATACCTGCTTCACTGGATAATTATTAAATTTCAGTATTGTTTTATTTGTGCAGGATCTTCTCCATACTGTCTTCAAGAATGGGAAGGTGACAAAAAGCTATTCATTTGATGAAGTAAGAAAAAATGCAAAGCTGAATATAGAACTGGAAGCAGCACCTCATTAGGCTTTGTTCTATGACTGGGAGTATGTGTGTGTGTATGTAATTCATAATGTTAATTGTACAGATGTTTGGGGTTTGTGTTTTATGATACATTACAGCCAAATTATTTGTTGGTTTATGGACATACTGCCCTTTCATTTTTTTCTTTTTTTCCAGTGTTTAGGTGATCTCAAATTAGGAAATGCACTTAATTAACCATGTAAAAAGATTAATGCTTAAAGTAAGCTTTTTAGGGCCCTTTGCCAATAGAGAGTACTTCAATCTGGTATTGATCTTTTCACAAATAACAGAACTGAGAAACTTTTATATATAACTGAAGATCACATAAAACAGATTTGCATAAAATTATCATGATTGCTTTATGTTTATATTTAACTTGTATTTTTGTACAAACAAGATTGTGTAAGATATATTTAAAGTTTCAGTGATTTAACAGTCTTTCCAACTTTTCATGATTTTTATGAGCACAGACTTTCAAGAAATACTTGAAAATAAATTACATTGCCTTTTGTCCATTAATCAGCAAATAAAACATGGCCTTAACAAAGTTGTGTTATTGTACAATTTGAAAACTGTCAGGAGATACCCTATAGAATTACTAACCTCACTGCCCCTTGTAGAATATGTATTAATCATTCTACATTAAAGAAAATGATGGTTCTTACTGAAAATGTCTAGGCACTGTACAGTGATTATATACTTTGGTCATTGTATTGTACTAGTGAAATGCCAAATTTGAAAGGCCTGTACTGCAATTTTATATGTCAGACATTGCCTGCGGCTCTAATATGCACCTCAAGATTTTAAGGAGATAATGTTTTTAGAGAGAATTTCTGCTTCCACTAGAGAGTATATACATAAATGTAAAATATTGACAGAAGTGGAAGCAGTGTATTTTAAGGTAATTACAGTTCTGAATTTATTTTTCCTATTCTATAGTTGATATGACTTAAATGAATTTCTGGAATGGGTAGTGAGTATACTTATCTTAAATGTTTTGATTCTGTTATTTTTTCATTAAGTTTTTTAAAATTAAATTGGATAATAAATTGTATGGACATCATTTATTAATTTTAAATGGAATCTCTCAATAAATACTAAAGTTCTTTAATGAAGATAAATAACCCCCAATGAGAAATATGATAGGAGGTTCAACAGAATCTTAAAAGCAGACAGTTGGCCAAATTCAAAATATTCTAGTGATTATTCTCTGCTAGATCCTAAGTGGTCATCACATCTGACTAGAGACCAGTTTTGTTTCTTTTAAGTCTGTTCTTCTAAGGCAGGGATCAGCTATGACCCACAGCCCACATTTGGATTGTTGGGGTTTTTTTTTGTAAATACATATTGTGTGTGTGTGACTGCTTTCTTGTGACAACAGCAGAAACAGTAGGTGCAATAGTGACCCACAAAGCCTGAAATGTTTATTATCTGGCCATTTACAGGAAAAGTTTTGTGAATCCTTGTTCTGAAAAAAGGAATGTGCCTTCAATTCTAAGAGCAAGGCTGGAGAGAGGAGGCCAAGTTGATAAGAGTTTTTCTTATGTTCTTATTTAAGAAACTGATATTGGAAGACTAATTGAGAAAACCTTTAACAACATGGATATTAAATATGAAATTTTAAAAACTGAAAGCCATAAATCATCCCCTAAAGTTACATGAAAGTTTTATCAGTAGAATAATCTAGTTAACAGTTGAATTATCTTTTATAAGCATCATTAAAAGAATGTTTTTTGCAGATGAAACTAAACATTTGTTTAATGAGAACAGGAAACAATCACTTTTAATAAGAGTTTTCATCCTATAATCCCTATAGAAAATAAGGTTTTTTGTTTTTTTTTAATTGTACCAAGAACGCACCTTTCACAAAAAAACATGCTAAGGGGCTTATAGAAAATTAAAAAATATTTAGTAACAACTTTGATAGCTGCCCATAAAATTTAATTTGTTTAAACATTGGAGTTATGCTACAGACAATATTCGTAGTGCTCTCTGAAAGCTGATCATGTACCTTTGTACATGGCAATAGATTCAGGGTTGGAGTGGTAATTCTATAAAGCTCTTAGCCACTTGGAACTGATTAATCCTTAACTTCAATTAATAAGCACTTAATATTTGGTCATTCCTATTCTGAATAGCAAATGGTTAAAATAGACAAATAGAAATCTGCTGTGTGTCACCCTTAAGTCAGCCTAACTCTTATAGACAAAAGCAAATGGCATGTATGGATTTGCTTAAGTCATTCTGCAGCTGACATCAATTATTAAACCCCCTCAATTGGTAATACCATGAAGTATTTGTATTTTAAATAGGAGTTATGTGTTAAGATTCTTAATTTATTTGTACTCTATACTTAAAATGGTTTTAATGATTATCCCTTATTTCTTTTCTTGAAATTGCTATGAAAAAAATTTTATAATGAATTTCCATCTTGGGAAACTAGAAAGAGAAAAATGGCAAGGTATTTATTGTTCTGTTTGCCATAATTTAGAATTTAGCACTTAAACAAGTATTTTGTAGTTTTACATTCCTTTTTAACCCATTCAGTGGAGAATGCCAGCTTTTCTCCCAAGTTGTATGGTAAATCAATTCTAATGTATTCAGCATCAAAGATAAACATGTAATAAACATGAAAATAAAGTTTAGCTCTATTAGTGAAATGTTAAATTTGACTCTGTGCTTCAAGTAATGATATTTCTAGACTTTATCAGGTATTCCTCCAGTTCAAAGAAATAGATATTGAAAGAGGGAGAGCTGTTAAGGATGACTCCTATTTTCTACCTCAGTAATTTTATGAATGGCAGTGCCTCTTACCAAGGGAAAACCTTAGAGGGAAACCAGTTTTGGAGGGGGATGGGGGTAGCAATTCCTGTTTTAAGATTTGAAATACTTTTAAGACACTTAAATGTTAAGTGCAGGTAGCTGTATATACAAATTTTTAGACAGAAAGGTCTCAAGGTATGAATTTGATACACAGATAGTTATTAGAGACACAGAAGAGGACACTTTTCTATGGAGATTGGAGAGTATGGTCTGGCAAACCAAGGCCCTAGGCCAAATTCAGCCCACTGTTTTTATCTAGTTTTATTGGAGATACTGCCATGCCCATTAATATAATTATTATCTATGGCTCTTTCATGCCATAGAGTTGTGTAATTGTGACAGATGTAGGGCCTCCCCGGTGGCGCAGCGGTTGAGCGCTGGGTTGCGAAACTGCGCGCGGCCTCTGCGGCGCCGGTTCGATCCCCGGCTGCTCCCCGGCCACCGGAGGAGGGTCCCACATGGCGTGCAGACCTCTCCTGCCGCCCGCTGCTCCCCTCAGCAGTGTACTTCGGTCCTTCTGCCTGCTCTGCTCCCCGCTCTGGCTCTGGTGAATTCTCTCACCCTCCCTCCCGCACTTCGGACTGTACCCAGTGCATGTATAAACAAAACAAACAAACCAGCAAACAAATAAATAAAGCATGCCTCTATAAAAAAAAAAAAAAAAAAAAAAAAAAAAATTGTGACAGATGTTATGACCTTCAAAACCTGTAATAGTCTATTGTAGAGCCTTTCAAAGAAAAAAATGTGCTAATCTCTGCAATTGAATTTTTAAAAAGAGGGACTACGGCAAAACCATAGGAATTCTTGAAAGTGGGAGAAGATGAGTAGGCAAATGAGACTTGAGAAGTAAGTGGTAGTAGCTAAGGAGATGGAAGGAAAACTGAGTAGTCGAGAAAGCCCAAGGGAGGAAGTTTTTTTAGCACAGGTGTTGAATCTTGCTGAGAGATCAAAGAGTGAGGAATTAAAGCATCTATTTCATTTAACCTCCCGGAAATAATTGGTTGCTTGGAAACATTCTCTTCCATGTAGTAGAGGAGGGAGATGTGAGAAAGAAGCTACCTTCCCAACTCTGAATTCTGGATGTGAAAAGGAGAGAATGGAGCATTAGTGTGTCTTCCTTTCCCTTTTTTAGCCATGGTTTTCTCTCTCAGAAGGACCCAGGAGAGGGGGAAAAATTGAAGAGAGAGCCAAATGATGGTGTTGGGTTCCAGAGGTGGTGAAGGAGGAAGGGGTGCCTTCATTCTAGAAGAAAGGAGAAAAGAATAGGTGCGTATAAAGACTTTGATTTGCCCTGTGACCTAAAAGACCAGGTCCCACTTCCAGAGGAAAGAGATTGGAGGTTTTTCATTATTATGGAGAAAAGAGTAACCAGAGTTGTGGAGGACCCAGCTACCTTGTGTATGAGAATTTATAGTGAAAATTTGCCTGTTGTGATTTGTCTTGTTCCCTTCCATAGTAGCAACCTCATGCCTGGGTCCAGATACAAAGAAAATGGAGATAGGGTTTTGCCAGGTAAGTTTGATTGAACAAAGAGACGATAATTGAATAAATGAGTCATTAGTTTCCTCCACGATCTAAATTGTATAGGTAAAGGACATGACGCCAACACGAAGCATTAACAAGACAGTAGAGTCCACTGGACAATCTAATAGAACTATGATCTCTTGGGAATTGTTGAACAAGCAGGTTTGAAAGGGCAGGAAACGCTAGTCTGAGACTAGGAAGCTTGGATTAGTGATGTGATGAATAGGAGCAAGTTCATGGTGTAGAATGACACAAGGTATAACACACTGTCGTGGCTAAATGAAGTAAAGGAGATCACTGGAGGCAGAACAAGGTCAAAAATCCTACCAGTGGGTTGGACCAGTGGACATTAAAGTAATCCAGGAAGATAGCAGAGGAAAATGCTTAAATGTTGAGTAAATGAGGAGAAGGGACTACAAGGTCAGTACCAAGGAGGAGTGTGGATGTGCAAGAGGGTGAGACCACTAATGCAGGCAAGTCTTCAAAGATGGAGCTCAACCTCTTGAAAGGATCCGGGCATGCATGAACAAATGCACACTGATTCAAAAATATTTTGTATATTGCCAAAGTCTGATGTCCTTCACTCTAAGATTTGTTGAATTGGTAAACAGAGGGAAGGAATAATCTAGATCAAAATCATCTTGTTTTTATTGGCTTGCTACAGACACCCTTCACTGACACACCCAAGAGTTCAAGTCTAAATGCACTTCTGAATTTTTGTTTCAATTGTTTTGAAGACCAGCCAAAGCATTCTGCATCCAATTAAACTTAAGTCACTTCTCATGCATCAAGGTTCTTTCTCACTGAAAATTTTCACAAAAATTTTCCTTTTATTGCATTCAAAAGTTCCTCTAATTGTTATCTGTTCCCCATAGACAACTGTCTGGTTCACAGTTACTCATCCCATTTAAAGCTATTAAAATATTTAGGTTATCATAGCCAAAAAAAAAAATGTTGCATTTTAGAATCATCTAAATTACTGAGTTCACCAAAATTTTGTGACTCACAAGAAAATGAGTCCTTGATAATCAGAAATTGTGCCTGCATGCTCTCACTTGGCAGACTGACCCCCCTCATCTTACTAGTGTATAGGCTCTTATGACTTAATTGGTACATTCACAAGGGACCAGAGGCTTTATCCCCGAGCAGAACTCATGCTCTCTTATAGGTGCTATAGGCGGACAGCTACACTATTAGCTT